GATTATACATATAAAGTAGTCAGGAGAAAAATTGGTTGATCGATTAATTCCTGTAAATCTCTTCCAAAATTTTGTTGAACTTAAAGCCAATTCTTGCGACTCTAAGATCAAAAAATTTCGTTAAGGTATGAAAGTAGTGGCTTATGGCCTTCTAATAATCTGTTTTTATTTAAACATTTTTTAATAACTTCATTTTATCTGTAATTGACGCGGTTTTTGATCCTTTAGCTTAAATTGTTTTGGATCGCTAGGAGTCTATAACTTCCAAGGCTTATTATTATTTCATGTAAACTTTTGTCTGCTTGTGTAGCTTTCTTATGTTTGAATTTTGCTATGGGGTTACTGGCGTAAACGTGGTAAGGATGAGCAGCACAACGATGAGTTAAAATGTAACAAGTATTAGCTTTACTCTGCTTTTCAATAACACGGGAACTCTGGAGTTGAAAATCCAACTTCACAATTGCATTTTTGCTTCCCCTTAATCATATTTACGATCAACAAACCTTCTACCACAGAAAAACACAAAATGGATCGAACTCCACCAATCACAAATCAGTAATGACTAACAAACCATTAAGGCGAGGTAGTTATTTAACAAGAATACTTCGGTCACCTACACAAAGTGTGCTTGCAAAGATTACTTTATTTTGGAAAATAATTCAAAATACAGTTCTATTTTAAACCAAACTCGACAATATAATGCTTTTAAGGTGCTTCGATATAGTTTTTCAGATGCCATACCGATATTTTTCAATCGCTCAAAATTTTATAACGATCAGACAAGGAATAAACCACTTTTAAGGCGATTGAAAAATATCGGTATGGCCTCTGAAAAACTACATCGGAAATACCTTAAAATGGGCATTCTCTTCTCTGAACCCTTTCATTAAGGTACATACCTACGAGAATTAAATGCACAAAGTCAACTTCTGGCCCTTGATTTGGGTCATCAGGTTTAATCGAACATCCATAAAATCTCTCATCATCTTTTGTAATATTACTGAGTGTGAAGCTGGCCTGACCAGAAGAAGAGTCACCAGTACGATTTCCACTGACACGACTTTTGTATGCATTAGGGACTGATTGAGATGAGAGTTCGACGACACCACGCTTATCTATAACTACTAATAAGCCATTTTTATAGTCAATGGCATTTGCACCAGCTTCCTTTATTCCCCAGGTTACTGTGTCAACTGCTCCAGAAAACGTCCAAGTAAAGGTCACAGAATGGCCAGTCCATCCTGTCACAGTTTTCCAATGATATGGAGACTTGAATAATAACTGCATCTGACCTGTAACACAAGAACTGATCAACTTCTCTTAGAAAGATAGATGTACATGTTTAAAACAGGGTTAGAACAATTGCTGGTGACCCAGTAATTTTTATTGAGACCCACAAATAAGGACAATAATAACTACGTGAAATAAACATAACAATGTTAAGGATCTACCGAGCACAAGATCCAGTCAGGGGTTTAAAGACACAGATTGAACTCGGGGCTTCCGAATTGCAATTCTAGCGCTCAAAGATCAAAAGGAAAACATAATATGAAGAGATTATAAAAGATTTTCTCCAAAGAAACTTTCAATTGAGAATTAAGTTTACTTTAAAATTAAATTTAAATTCAGACCAAAATGTCAATATTCATTTATTTCTGATTCATCAGGGAAGTGCAAAGCGATTAATCAAACTTAACAAAGGTAAAACTATCTTTGCCATAAAGTGACGTTTCGTTACTTTGTGTCCCTTGGGCAGAGGGTCAAATCGCATTGCGGCCTTCAGCGGTACACTAAGGTTTCAGTTTCCATTTTCCGGTTTCCATATAAATATCTATCCTTATTGTTCTGTACCCGATTCGAATTGTCTCAATATGTTTAGGCAATAAATAGATTGAATGAAAAATATTAAAAGCTTTAGGTAAATTTAACCTACAAGTATTAAGGATGGCAAAACGCCAACGCACTTTTGGCAGCAAGCTTATAGGCTTATCCGCTTGTGAATAATGCTAGTTTCTATCTAAATGCATGTTTCCGAAAACGTTGACTTTAGTAAAATACGAGAAGCTAAACATAACCTAAAAACCTTTTTATTTTTGCGTTTTCGATGTTTAATTGAAGAAACAGGAAAGAAAAGCACCACATACCTGAATGAGGAAGAAACAACAATGCAAGGAAAATACAGCATTTATCTGCAGATGTCTGCGTCGAGTCCATGAACATCAAATACACAATCAATTAATAAAAATATGTTTTGTTGGAAAGTATGGTTCGATCGAGCCAATTTATTTCACTAGTCGTTCTCGGATATATGAACAGACTGGACTGGTTCTGCAGGCATCTAAACATATATCACATGTCAATGTTTATGGTAGATATGAGGTCACGATCTTGGGTGCATTCATGGCTCCTAATCTCTCGATTGTCACGGTCACGGGAAAGCCCGGCCTTTTTTCATTCAATTTATTGCATTCTGGGAAAAGCTAAACTTGCTTGCTCGTCATAAAAACAATGTCGTTTCCTTTCATCCTTTTTACCGCAGCGCCCAATGCTGGCAACATTGACTGCGAATTATTGTCAAGTCTGTTATTTGGGAAATGACTCTTTCAGTTATTCATTGTGGTACAATCGTGATAGTCACAGTGATTGAGGCGAATTGACGTCGATTGGGGTGGCCAAGAATAGTGGTTAAAATTTCAAATAACGAGTAAGGCGAGTGTTAAATAATGCAATTGTTATTTAGCAGATGTCATTTAAACAGATGGAGGTCTACTCGAGAATTGATGACGCCTACTCTTGAAGTACAACAAATGTCACTACCACCGCGTTGGTTAAGGGGATCAGTTACAAAGGCTAGTCAATTACAAGTTCCCAGGATGAATTCAATAAAAGTAAAGGGCTTATATAAGTGTGCACTCCAATCAAGCTTTGCAGGAAAATACTCAGTAATGTCCTGCAGGCTTATTAGCTCGTGACACTGAAGTAGTAGTGCAAGAGATGCTATTCAGAGTGGCCTCATGATTAATGGTAACTGAGTCGTACGTACAGTTAACTAAAAGTTTCAGTTGTTTCTCTTTCTGTCCTACACTGTTGTTGGCAAAGCAAGTGTATATGCCTGCATCTCTCTTCTTGGTTTTACAATAAAATGAGATAAGCTGTATTTTGGCCAAAAGTTTTTTCATGTCCATTGTGGGCCCACCTCACTTCTGGAGCTGGTTTTCCTGTTGCTGCAGAAGTGATGTTCACATGACTCCCTTTATTGTAACTTGCATTTTCTACAGTTGGATAGGTGATGGTGGGTACCTCTGTAAAGCTAAAAGCGATTTGTAATAAATATGCGGATTAACAGTAAGTCACTTTTTTTCATTTCAAAAACAAAAAGTAAAGGGAACGATAAGAGAGAGTCAATTTGTCGCTAGTGTCGTAATGCCATGATGTTTTTCAACGGTAAATATTCGATGAATGGCTTGAATCATAATTACTGACCTGACTGGTCAATTAATTTGCGATGTCATTGACGGACGAACAACTTTATAGCGCCTTAATTGACCAACAGGTTACTTTTTACCGTCAACTAACATGATAAAACACACTTTAATACAGAAGATGACTACAGCACTGATTGTGCAAACGTCAGTTACTGACAACAACAGTATTTCTCAGGACTATACCCACCTGGACGGTCATATTCCACCTACTTAAAGCAAAACATTTGGTTGAAAAGAACCATATCACCTTTAAAATACTCAGCAAAACAACTGATTTGATGTTCATTAAAACAGTTCTGTGTCTTCTGTCTTTTTTTTTTTTTTAAAAAATGGCAAATAATTTAAATAGATAAACGATAAAAGCGAAGTATGAAATGTAAAAACAAGCATTCCGATCAGTTGAAGAAAGATGTCAGAATCCTCATAGTTTTACTAGTCCTAGTTTTCACCTTTAACCACAGAAAATGTTTAAAAACCTCATCTTGAGTCCTTCCGCTTAAGGTACATACCTAAAAGAAGCAATTGGACTAAGTCAATTGTTGGCGCTTGGTTTGGGTCATCAGGACTTAGTTCACATCCATAAATCCGCGCGTGATCTTTGGTAAGATTATGGAGCTTGAAGCTGGCCAGACCCGAAGATGAGTCACCGGTACGATTTTCATTCACACGACCTCTGTATACATCAGGGACTAATCCAGGTGAAACTAAATCAATACCACGTCTATCTAAAGCTGCTTAAAGTCCATTTCTTTGATCAATTAGATTCACACCATCTCTCTTCAATGCCCAAATTACCTCATCAACTCTACCAGAAAATTTCCACTGAAATGTCACAGATTGACCAATCACTCCTGTCACAATTTTTCCTTGGTATGGTGACTTGAATTGCACCACCAACGTCTGATCTATTACATGTACAGAACATATTAAGCATTAGCTGTTTTAAAGTGGACGATGACATTGACTTTCAAAGTTTCATTTTTTAATGTTAACATGTTAAGACATTAAGTTGGAATTTATACAGAATAAAACTCCTAAATTCACTGCAGATTAAGAAACAGAGATTTATATAAGATATTCCATAGTTTAGCATTGATAAAAGAGCAGTTGTAAGCTTTACCTCCTGAAAATGAATTACAGTAGAGGATAATATGCTAAGCTGACTATTTCGCTGAAGACGCTTTAGTGTTATTATTCGTTACATTGCGTTACTCCGGGTAACGAAAGTGTGAGACCCTGCTTTCAGCGGTACACAAAGATTTTGGTTTCGATATAATTGTCCAAATGGTCTCAATCAAGCTCGGACTGCTTCAGAATAAGTTTAGCTAAAGAGACGTTGATGTCGAACATGTAAAGAGTTCTAGGCAGATTTAACCGAGCGATGTTGTTTTGACAGGGAGTTTGGCATTCAGGTTTTGCAAATTTATGATGCAACGTTATGAGCGAAAACTGTTGAATAATAATTTTAATAATGCACCGACCTAACTACGTGCTGATAGAAACAGTCGAAATATTAACAGAACAATCCCTCAGTACTCTTGACTGTTTCTTATTTAACTACCACCTGCGTCTAGCGTATTCAATGAGTAAATAAGTAAAACAAAGAGAGAAGAAAGTACCTACCTGCATGCGGAAGTAACAACAATACAAGGAAAGCACAGCATACTGAGGATGTCTCCATCGAGTTTATGAACAGTCAATGGCGAATGTATATTAAATGGTTGAGAAATATAATGGCAATGTCTCATCGATAAAATTTCTTTATCAATTCTTGAGCGTGCGGGCAGAATGGTGTAAGACGGAGCTTTACTTGTTCATGCGAAATAGGATCATGTCACCTGACGTGTCACATGGCCGATAACCAGTCAATGAAGCGCCAAATTGACCATCTTTTACATACACTTTAAGAAGCAGGAAGGCTATAACAAAACTTCTGTGGTAAACGGAGTTTTGTTTTTTCATCGTGGTACTTTCACTGTTGGTGACGATAATGTTATTTTTTGGCAATAATTGGATGAGGGTGAATATGATATACACCCTACAAGATCGACACAATTCTCTATATACTCTCCCTTTGACTGAATGTATAATAATTTCATTCATACAACACATTTACTAACAGCAATTTATGAGAAGTGGCTCGATAAATCTCACCTGAAACTGTTTCCGTTGGAACTTTGAGTAATTCAAGGAGAGTCAATTCAATAAATCATAACAAATAAAACACTATGAAACGTAACCAATTGCAGGAAGTACTCACAGTTAACTATAAAATACAGTTGTTTTTCTGCCCGGCCAAAGGAGTTATTTGCTTCACATATGTACATTCCTGTATCCTCTTTTCCGACTTTTCCGAAGATTAACTCAGCTGTTCTGGCACCAGAACTTTTCACCTTTCCGTTATGGATCCACCTTACATCTGGGTCTGGATTTCCTGTAGCCCTACAACTGATGTTAACTAGCCTTCCCTCGTTGTCACTTACAGCGTTTGCCATTGGATGTGTGATGTTTGGTGTCTCTGAAATTCAAAGTAAATGAATATAAAAGACGTTTTAAAATATGGCCATTACCAGTCCAGTAGTAATATTCCATGGCAACACTAGTCTTGCCATGGACATTACCAGTACGAACAGATTATTGCATTGTGTTCTAGCTGGTAATTTTCTTCTGATTAACTCTTAGCGTTGTAAGTGTTTTAGTTGGCACTAAAAAGGATTATCTTTGCCAGTTGTGACAAACTGCTGTAAAGTCCTTTGCCAGTGTGTATTATTTGTTTTACTTCAACAGGGCTTTATATAGTTCAGTGAGACCTGCATCAAGTGGAAACCCAAGGGACCTTCGCTAGTGTCCGCTTAATGGAGGTCTCTGCTAAATACAGATTAATTTCACTTTTCCAACAGTTTTGTTTTGCTTTTCCAATTTTGGCGACTGAGTATTCTTCATGCTTGTTTTATTGTTATGCAGTAATTAAAACTTTTGTATGCTATATACAGTTAAAATAGCGTGACGAGTCTTTAAAGTTCTCTTTAATATATTACCTATATTCGGCTGTAAAAAATTCACTGTCATTACTTCATAACTTTAAGGTGGGTCCAACAGATGTTGAAGGAAGAGAGTTAATAATTTCGAAAGTGATATTCATTGTTCATGTTGCAACTCTAAACGTTCAGGAGATGTTTATTGTTCCCGAGAGTACAGCCTTCCGCATGTTATAAAGAACTCCCTTACTCTTACTTCCGACCATCTCCTTCAGCTTGACTTCTAACTCTCGGCACCATCCGACACGTCCATTGTGATATTATATTGTTTCACTTCATATCCTTAGTACTTCTGGTTTAACTCCCAACGGAGCGCTCCGTACTTCGTGGTTTTCTCCTCCTCGTTTTTCTCCCGGTTTGTAAGCCATGGGCAGCTCATCTCAAGCGTTATGACTCGCTTTGACCCGTGGTTGACAATGCGAGCATCAACTCTGTTGGCTGTAACTTCTTAGTGCTCCGCAAATAGAGGGACATCCCAGAACGCTTGCGCATTGTTCGCCTCGTACACTGGCTTGGCACTGGTGCAAGGGCAGTACAACCAGCTAGGACATGGGCGACACTTTCAGGGGCCTTATTACATAGCCTGCACGTTACCTCACCCGTCATATCCGTGTGCGTTTTCTGGCAGGCATACAACCTTGTGGGTAATAACTGTTCGTAGAGCTCAAACATCCCCACCACTGTATGTGTTGGACATTGTTTCCAACCGCTTAGCCACCAGAAACAGCCATCGAAATTAAGGCTGTCGTCTTCAATTCTCGCGGAGATTAGTTTCCCCTGCCAGTTTTGTCCCTGCGCCGCTTCTCGTGTCTTCTATTCCAAACACCTTCACATCTCTACCACCAGTTTCTCTGCTGTTGTCACCTTTCCACTATCATGCTTTATGAAGGTTAGGTTTGGGTAATCCAGCTCCAACTGGAGGCTCATCTCCTCTGCATACCTTGCTGCCTCCTTAACTAACGAGCTATGACCTAACTCTTCTACTCTCTCTTCAAGCTCACGAACCATCGCCATGGCTGGGTCACCATTTCTATATAACTTACTGCAGCCTTTATCTTCATCACTTTGCACTCCTCCTCGATCGAGCGCAGACCTCTACCTCCCTTCTCTCTTTACATGTATCAGTAGAATGGCAGTTGAACGGCTGGGATGTTTCCCACCATTCTCAACAACTATCTTGCGAGCTTCTCTATCTAACTTTTTGAACTCTGTCACCGGCCATTGTTGTGTCCACATTAGGTAGCCTAACACTGGTAATGCAAATTGGTTCGAGGCTGTTACACGGTTGTGATCAGACAAGGGATTTGACCAAATGATAGACATTCTACGCAGAAACTCCTTAGCTGCGCACTCCAACGACATCCTCTCCTCTTGCCTCACCGTCTCTAAAACACCCAAGAACTTGTAATGATTACCCTCTTCAAGGTCGGAAACACAGATATTTCTCATCTACCCTCCCTTAGCCCCGAGGCATCATGGGTATGGGTATGTACCGTTTTTGGGGTTCCACTGAAGTCCGACATTCTCCATCGCGCTCTTGGTTGATTCCATAACACGGTTTAGTTTACTCTTCGAAGACGCAAAGATCTTTAGATCATCAATTTACAAGAGGTCTGTTACCTTTACACTGATGGGCTTAGATAGTTTATAGCCCTCACTCGAACTGATCTTCCATGTGATGGGATTCAAACAAACCTTGAAGAGCATGGGACAGAGAGCGTCACCCTTGGGTAGGCCATTGAGAAACCTGACTGGCTCAGATGTCTCCCGCCCTTTCTTTGTAGTCGCCACCAACCTTGTGCTCTAGCCCTTGCTTAACTTCTCTACTGTCCTTGATAACCGGACAGGGAATCTATGCAGGATCATCATCTCCTCCAACCAACCATGTTCTACCGAGTCGTACGCCCTCAATCCACGCCATACTCAGGTTACCCTTTCGCCGATGACAATCTAAGGTCACAGTTCTGTCAATCAATAAATTGTCTATAGTTACGCTACATCCTGCGCGTGCGCCCCTCTGGGCTCCATCCATTAAGGACGATGCCCACTAATGGGAAGTTTTTTTTCTCCCAGATAATGACCACGTGAGACAAGTAGATCATATCAGGGGCTATTGAAATCCAAGGTAAGGGCCAAGTCGCACTAGAGGACAAAACTGTTTATTTATGTCAAAAATCTGTCAAATTCTGTCATCACAATGAAAAACCAAGTGCGACCGGTTTGTTCACCAAAGGACAAAATTTGGTCGCGGGCGGACAAACTTCAAAGATGCCGTCGACTATCTCTGGAGCAGGCCAAATTGAGACAAATTTTGGAAAACAATAGCGAGGGTGTTTTAATTCGGAAATGATTTGACAGGTGATATGTAGCAGAGTCTCTATGCTATAGACTTCGCGGCAAAATTAGTCACGTTCTCATTTCGCAACAACATGAATCCAGGCGCGGGCAACCAATACTTTCCGTATGAAATGGGGCAACAATATCCTCAATATCCACCAGGATGGATATATCCGTTGCCTAGCACTTACAATTTTAATGATCGAGGAACTCCAAGCCCATCTCCTTCAACCGCAAGTTCTGGCTCGTTGTCAGAATCCTTTCCGTTCGTCGAAGACGGCTCAATGCCGGAATCATCCCAAACTTCTTCGCGCCGTACATCTTCCGAGAACAAGAAGGCCCAGGAACGATGGACTAAAGATGAGGAAAAACTGTTAGTCCAACTATGGGCTGAAAAACACGATCTGTTGGAAAGCAGAGAGTGCAGGAAAACGTGGGCCTGGATCGCCGAGAAGATTTCGAAAGCGCTACAGTCCAACAAGACGGCCGACAAATGTATTCGGAAAATGAAGTACATCATAGAAAGATACAAGAATGCAAAAGATTGGAACAAAAACCAAACAGGAGGAAACCTTAGGAAATCCGTCTACTACGATGAGGTCGATAAGATCCTTGGATGCCGCGACCTAGTAGCCTTCAATAATGTAGCCGAAGCGGGGATCAGCGGCGAAAGTGCCCCCGAAGTTGTAGCTGAATCAAGTGATACTACTGGCGAGAACAGTACTTCATCTAGCCCCAATGTGCCACAAACTCCAGCTGAAAAGAGAAGAGCGTCAAAGAAAGGGAAACGAGCTTCGAAACGCAAAGCTCCTGTTAATGACGGCGACGAAGAGTTCAAGATGGTTCTAAAGGATATGAGGCAGCAGGGGGAGAAAGTTGCAGCATTTATGGATTCTTTGCAACAATCACAGACGCAGCAGCTAGCCATGATGAACCGATTTATGGGCTCCATTGTGAAAACCCTTGGCCAACAGAATGAGAAAGACAACTGAACTTTAATTCAAGACTGTTTTGGACTATTGGGAGACAATCATTATCGACCATTATCAAAAGACATGTTATTGTTTATGTTGCGAATCGATCAAACGAAATTATGGAAACAAATGAATGTACTGCTTGAACTGATTTCTTGTTGTAAATGCAAAAATTATCTTTATCACACACTTCTCTTTAAAAATCTGAACAATAAATGTCTGTAAAATTGCAGGAAAATTCAATACGGTGATGGAAATCGTTTCTTATGATTCAACAATCGCATGTTGAGCACAAATTACAATGCAATATTTTTATAGTATTTTCTCGTTGATTTTCTTCTATTTTCTTTGTGAAATATCAAATACAGTATAAGTTTAAGTTCGAAGGATTAAATAATTAAAAAAAGGGATTTAATTAAAAAAAGGGATTTGAAGAATCATAGACTGTTTTTTAGCAACTCTCTTATATCTTCCCCGTCCTGCATGAAGTCATTGTTCGGTTCGTTTCCGCGGTCATCATGGTCATCGTAAAAATCATCCTCCCATTCGTCCCCAATTTTAATGCAAAAGTTATGCAGCACTGCACAAGCAATGGCAATCTTCACAGAAAAAGTTATTCTGCTATCCAACCGCTTTTGTAGAATTCGCCAACGACTTTTGAGGCGGCCAAAAGCGCACTCGATGGTTACTCGTGCAGACGACAGTTCCTTGTTAAATGTTATCTCGCCAGGGTAACGCGTCGCTTCAGGATAAGGCTTCATAAGCCAGGGGGAAATAGGGTATGCGCTGTCTCCTACCAGGTAAGGCTGAATATCTGTGATGCCGATTCTTTCAACGGGTTCCTTGAGTATATCTCCGTTGCTTGCTCTTAGATAAAGCGAGCTGTTTCGATATACCCTAGCGTCGTGGATACTTCCCGGATAACCCGCTGCAAAGTCAAGAAATAATCCCTTACCGTCAGCAACGGCCTGAATAATGAAATCATGTTGCTGATTTCGACTAAAATAATCAACAGCACTGTCTCTAGGAGCAACTATTTTGATATGAGTGCCATCTATGGCCCCAACAATGTTTGGAAGTCCTGATTTGTCCGTAAATGTCTCTATACACCTCATTGTCTCGGCCACTGTTGTTGGGAATTCGATGTACTCATTCCTTAAGTCATAAAGAGCCTCAACCACGTCTTGACAAGCCTCTATTGCTGTAGTTCTGCCGACGTTTAGCGCAGGTCCTATTGTTTCGTATGAATTTCCGTGTGCAAGGCGAAGCAAACCACAAGCAAGGACCTTTTCAGGAGTGAGGCAATTTCGCAAAACTGTATTCTGTCTCGTCAGCCGGTTACGAATTACGTTGAGCAACAAATCAAAGCTTTCTCTGTTCATTCGTAAGAGCCTTCGAAAGTAGTTTTTTGTTCACAGATTTTGTTCTCAAGTGCGACTGTAGCTTTCCGGACAAATTTTTTGTCACTGGCCGATTTCAAGTCAGATTTGTCCTGGAAAAATCTGAAATTGTCCTCTAGTGCGACTTGGCCCTAACTACGCATTTTTCCGAGATAATTGCGCTTCAATATGGAGAAAAACGCTGAATAGGCATTTTTGAGAAAAATGATAAAAAGTCATTTTTTTCGCAAATTTCAGAGTGTACACGTGAACGTGCACAAATGCAATGATAATTGTAACAAGGTCTCAAAATAAGCAACAAATGATGACATAACAACTGCTCTTTATACGTCTTTTTTTGAAATACCAGCACAACTAGGAAGTTATCTGCAGTTACCCCTCTCCACGCGTTTGCCTTAAAAATAGTGTAAACGACATTTTCCCCAAACCAAAAATTGATCGTTTGCTGAGGAGGCTTATTACTTCCATTTGGTAAGATAAAAAGTAGGGGTTACCAGGCGTTTTTAGAAGTTAAATTGGTTGGTTTCGACCTTAACTTAATCGCTTTGGGGGTTATTTACAATTTCTCCCATCCCCTCCCCGGTCAGTTTTACTATTGCCTCACTCAACGCGGAGTACTCTGGGATATCCACAATGGATAACAGTCAGAAAGAACAACAATCCACGGAGGAGAGCAAAAACAGAAAGTGAAGAAGGAAATTTCATGGACCCTAAGGAAAACAAATTATACTATTTCATTTAACTGGAGCTTCTCCGTCTCAAAAATTTAACAAACATTTTTGGAGAAGAGCAATCTCGAAGGTATTAAAGATTACTTCCAGCGCACATGGAGTAGTATGGCGAGCTCAAGATCCGAGGCTGGTGCTGTAAACAAACTATTGCACTGAGGTGGAAAATAGTCGACAGGGACTCTTAGACAGGTACTCCTTCATTCGTTTGCTTAGCGGTACATGTCCTCAAGATTTTTTTAACTGTAGATGTAATATGGATTGTAAACCTTCTATCGTTTTTTATCATTTTACCGGGTACTTTGATCAAATATGTTATTAAACTTGCATACATTCAATGAGCATATATCTGTGCTTTGCGCTATCTCCTTGGGGGTTTGCCACAAGTGTCATATGACTTAAATGATTTGCATAGACTCAAGCTCTCTTTTAAAAAAGCTGAATACTGCGAAAGTAGTTGTACCGAATGCATTTATGTACCCTCATATATAAACTGGGCTATAATGATCATTTTATATATTTCGTTTTGATTTGTTTT